CGGGAATTTTAACTTTTATAAATGTATCTTGATTTTATTAAAAATGAAAAAGTAAAATACCATTCACTTTGAATTTTTATTTGATTTTTAATGTACCTACTTTCTTGTTATTCATTTAGATTATAGAACAGGATAATTAATATTATTTTATATTGTCAAGTTGTTCCTTTTCGTTTCCCAAAATTTGTTATTTTCATTATTAATAAATTTCTTGTACCTATCACTGCATATTATGTTTTGCTACAAGATTACATTATTTGTAAAGAAAGAAATATTATTTCTTATAATTAAAGTACTTACTATTTGTGAATAATTCTTTATTTTCCATCGCAAAATCCAATTTTTCACATTGTTAAATCTTCTTAAAATTCGTTTTCTTTGCGTATTTTTAAATATAAGTATATTTTGTAAACAATTTTCTTGTTTTAAGTTCGTCTAGTCTCGGCTCTTGGCGCTTTTGACTTTCTTTATAGGTGTTGTAACGCGAAGAAACGTTCCTTATGGCAAATTTTGAGCTTATTGCGAAAACATATTATTGTTCGTCTTCACCTGCCGTGTGTCTATTAAATGGATATATAAAGACAGATAACTCTTGATAGGGACATATCTCGAATATCGTCTACTTTACTTCATACTGTCACTTGGAAAAGCGCCGTTTCCAAATTTACCATTTAGAAGATAATTTTGGGAGTGAATAAAGTTATGGATTCATTAGCTAACGAGAGATTTTAACAATCGTTCTTGCAACCGGCTGTTAGAGATATAAATGGCTTAGAGATTTTATTGTTTTTCTTTATTCTACATCTTATCTTGGTCGTCACATTTGAGTTTGGCATTATTTCCTTTTTAATTTCACTAATTTCATTTGTTTCTTATTAGACTGTAGTTCGAATAATCCTTAAATTCGCACGGAATTTAGGATTCGATATATTGAACTAGGAAGTCTTCTAAAAAAGGAAGCGCAATAAGTCAATGACTGATGGGCTGCATTGGAAAATACAACTCCCTTTACGAAACAAAAAAAAAACGTAAAAAGTTTCATATGATTTGTATTTACTTTCAGTAAATCCTTGTACTAAAATTAGTAAAATATTGTGTTACCCTGGTATTTTATTGGAAAAACAGTGATTTAAAACTCATTATGAAGTATATTAACTATTACCAATTCAAGAAATATTTTCTATTTATTATAAAATGCCGTTGACATATTAGTCATTTTTATTTGTGAAATAAGGCTGTCCTGTATGCGAAATTTAGCACGCCTATTTAGTTTAAAAATAAACATAAATCAACTCAAGAACAATATTATTTATTTGGCTCTTAATCAGATTTAATTACTGTAGTGAACAAGTGTTTTATTTTATATTTAGTTTTTCCTTGAAGGTAAATTTGATTGAAGACAAAAATGGTTTTTTTGTTTTCTCTTTTAAATTGTATTGGTAAGTTAACTAACACTATTTAAAACTACTTATAGCTTATGCTTATTTGTTATTAAGATTAATGTAAAATAGAATGTTTAAAAGAAGGGGTTGCGATTATTTAAAAAAATAACCAAGCCAAATAAAAATAATATTCCGTATGAATGTATTTTTTTGCAATTCAACAGATACAAATAATCTCAACTGGAACAATACGAGAAAATATTTTAAATATACTTAAGGTAAATGACCCTATTTTCGTCAGCTAAAGCATTATCTACAATTTTTTACTTTCGTGAAGCTTATAAAATACATTCTAATAGGCTTTGAGGTAAAATATTCAATATAAACGTTATTTAATTAACCTATCAGTTTTATTAATTTTCAATTAAACTAGATTATTCTATAATTTAATAAATATTTCGAAAATACCAGGTGTCTCTATTTTTATCAAATTTGTACCATATGTTTGTACCTATTTTCGCCAATATTTTCTCTAAAATAAACATAAAATATTATTTTTTAATAAAAAACGTAAAAAAATAAATTATTAATTTGGAGCAATGTGCTATATTTTTTTTTATTGCATATATGTAATTTTTTAAGTATATTTAAATTTATTTCCAATTTAAAAAAAAATAATTATAATATTTTGCCACAGTTCTTTAATTAATTGTAGTTCCTAAAGTTAATTTAAAAAAGGAAAACATGAAATTAAGGCATAATAAAATTTAAAGGATTTTTGTCGTTTAACTTTTTATTTGTTATGAAAATTAATTACTGGTCTTAATTAGGCCACTACTAACAAATTAAGCTCGTCAGTGGTGACTCAATAGTCGTCATGGTTTTGTCCCAAATTTCGTTATAATTATTTATAATGCATAATTAGAAGATTTAAAAAAGATGTGACAAAATTAGTACTGCCGAAAATTCATTCTATTTTGTACAGAACTCTTCTATTTCAAAAATATAATTTGATGGTTTTTAAAAACTACATGAAAATATGACACTATTGGCTTTGCTCCAATTTTACCAGTGGTGACGAATCTAGGAATATTAATTAATATTTTACATTAAATATTAAATAATATTGTTACACTAAATAATAAATAATATTGTTATATTAAATAATAAATATTGTTACATAAAATAATATTGTTTTATTGTTCTGTTACATTAAATAATATTCGTACTGGAATGGGAAGGGGTAACATTCTATGTGAGTACAAATACCGGGAAATGTAATAGGTTACAAGCTGTGTCATTAATATCTGGGAACAATAGTCCCAAAGCGTATTCTTGATATACTCCAGTTGATACATCTGTAACCGACGACTTAACACCTTTATGTTCAACATAAAATTTCCGTTGTTCTAAATATGATTGAAAACATAAAGTGGAAATAGACTTAGGCCAAAACATCTTTATCAGACTATTAAAAGCTTGTGAAAAATCGAGATAGAGCTCATCTACATGAGATGAATCATCCAAATGCTGATCAGTAAATTAAATTGTGTAATATAAAGCAAATTTTTCACAGTAGACCTTCCTTTGAGAAAACCACGTTGAGTAATGGTAAGAGGCCGATAATTTTCTATTTTAGATTTATTCCTTTTTTTTTAATACAGGAGAAATTCTGCAAATTTATTTGATTTCAAAGATAAATAAGTTAAAAATAATTATTGTTAGCGTATAAGAAAGTACAATCTTTGACCAAAAGTGCAGTCAAAATTTAAAATTTAAAAGAAAAACAGCGTGTGAATTATTTTGTTAATCCAAACTTTTTACTTATTCTTTATTTATTGATAGGTACAGTTAATTATACGAGGATGGTCTGAAAAGTTTCCGACCTGAACGCGAAGAATAAAAACTAGGAAATGCGATTGCGCATCTTTTGACAGGTACAATAATTTCAGCCATTTTGGATGTTCAGTTGTTGTTTGACAATTGTTTGAGTCCGTCAATGTGAGTGTTTATATGAAAATGAAAAATATCGAGTATCAAGCTGTAATTAAATATTTGTTTTTGAAAGACAATACGCATACAAAAATGTGTACGGGGACTCTGCAGTATCATTTACCACCGTTAAATTTTGAGCAGCTGAATTTAAACGTGGCCATACCAGCTTTGGAAACGATGAACGTTCGGAATGTCCAAAAACTGTAACCACTGACGATAATATCGCTAAAGTTCACCAAATGATTCTAAACCACCGTCGAATTAAAGTGAGAGAGATAGCAGGGGCTATGAATATGTCCAAAGAACGCGTTTGTCATATATTGAATCAGGATTTAGACATGAGAAAGCTGTCTGCGCGTTTTGCTGTCCTTGCGTTTTGTGTCGCGTTTGTTCACGTTAGACCAAAAAACGTGTTCAGATGAACATTTCCAGCCCTCTGTTAGCGCAGTTTAGGCGCAATAAATCAGAATTTTGGCGCCGATTAATTACTGTAGATGAAACTTGGATACATCATTATACCCCAGAAACAAAAATACAGGCAAAACCGTGGACACTTGGACAGCGAAGAGGGAACGTCCCCAAAAAGTAAAAGTAGTTTGTTCAGCTGGGAAAGTGATGGCGACTGTTTTTTGGAATAGTGGAGTCATCTTAATCGATGATCTTTAAGAAAGAAAAACCATTACAGAAGCACACTACTCATCAAGATAATACGCCGTCTTACACCTCAGCGGTTGCCATTGCAAAAATTCATGAATTACAGTTTGAACTGCTTGACCACCCTCCTTACTCACTCGATCTAGCCCTAAGCGACTTCTTTTTATTCCCTAATCCAAAAATTTCTCTCGGAGCAAAGGGATTTTGTTTAAATGAGGTGGCCATCGCCTTCATGAACAGGTGTTTTGCAGAGAAAGACGCTGAGTACTATTTGGACGGGTTAAAGAGATGGAGATGTGAGTAGACTTACAAGACTATGTAGACAATAAAAATAAAATTAAATAAAAAATATCTTGTATCTTTATTAGGTCGGAAACTTTTCATACCATCCTTGTATATTTTAATATTAAAATAACGTGACGTAGCGATGTCCTTCTTATTGTAATCGAACGCTCCTAGGTTTAATCAGTCACTAACGCTGGTGATCACACTACACCCTTATCAATAATCTTGGTCCTGATAGTTTTTTTCCTGTCCTTTTCCCTGATATTTTCCCTGATATTTTTAACCGACTTCAAAAAAGGAGGAGGTTCGTCGCAATATTTTTTTTTCTATGTATGTTCAGCGATAATTCTTTAACACGGTGTCCGATTTCAATGATTCTTTTTTTGTTAGAAAGGGGGTACATCAGGGGTGGTCCCATATAAATTTGGTCAAAATCTATTAATTGGGTCGATAATAAAATCCTCAAACTCTTCGTTTTTTATGTATGTTTAGCGATAATGCTTTACCACCTTGTCCGATTTATATAATTTTTTTTTGTTAGTAAGGGGGTATCTCAAGGGTGGTCCCATATAAATTTGGTTAAGATGTGGTGATGGCATCTGCACGTTTTTGAAATCGTTTCTTTTTTAAATTTTTAATTTCTAATACTTGTTCTCTCTTCTAATCACTATTCATTTATTACAGGTCACAAACGGGGTTTACCTTTAGTCGATAGCGATGGTGAGAGTGTCAGTCAACCTTTTCCAACAGTGCCAAATACTGATTCTGATTTAGGTAAGTCAAACTAATAAAAATTTAGTATATAAGTTTGGATATTTCAATCAAAATACAGACCATTTACTTAAATTTCATTACATAAAATGTTTGACTATGATACGCTAAATAATATGAGTAATCACTATGGTTCTCCACTTTTTTTTATTGTATTCTCCGTGAAAAATCCTTGGGCTAAGGGTTTAATAAAGAGCAACAAGAGTATTTCTTAATGGTTAATACATTTATTCTACAAATGATTCAACATTGTCTTGAAATAGTCAAAACTTTGCGACCACTCATTTGCAATAATAAACTTATTTTTTGCTGTTTTTAGTCACTGGGGGACAACAATTCGAAGCCCATCACGTTTTTCGGGTTTTCCTTCCTTTCTTTCTAAAGGTCATTCAGGCATTATGTAAACATGTTTAAGGGAGGGGTTAAATATTGTTTACTTTTGCTGCAAATAAATGGGTTAAAAAGTTTCATTCAAATTATAAAATAATTTTTCAATAAAATAATACAATCTCAAAATCAATACCACATATAAATTTATTGTTCTTACATAAATACAGGTGCCACTATTTTCAGCCTCATAGGGCAATCATCAGGCAAAATTACTTTTAATAAAATATATTAGTTTAGACAGAAATAATAGAAAATAAGTTAAAAACGGAGAAGATCTCTAATTGAATCACAACAGATTAAAATAACATGGTAGGTGGTGGTGTTAGCAAATTCACGAAAGCGGAGGTGGCAAGTGAGATGGCTAAAGACACGAGTATCAGAGTCGAAGAAGCTAAAAGTAGGTTTTCTGCTATATGAGTGACAGACAAACCAAGGAATGGTCAAGGTAACTACACGGCATAGCTGTAGTTCTTCATCTTAGCAGTTTGATATTTCCTCAGTTGTATACTTTCCATCAAAATGTGGAACTACTGCCATGCCATGCAGTTATCTTCACCATTATGAAAAATAATCATTGAGTAAGTTGCCCACATTTGAGATATGGATAATTTTCGATAAATTTTGTTTATTATGACGAATAAGCTTTTTATTTCTTATTTTTGGGGAGAGGAAAGGGGCTCTGCAATTTTTTCAATTTCTCTTACGATAGGAAGGGTCTAAAATTAACAGAATTATACTTTCGTAATCATGAATCGTTCTTTATTAAAGGAATTTGTTGGATTAAGTCCTTTAGGACCTCCAAATGTTTCTTACGTAAACAAAAAATAAAAATGATTTTGGTTTCAAAAATGTTATGTAATAACTTGCATGTTCATCAAAATTCTTTAATACTTATTTTTTTAATTATTAAATATCAGTTTTCTGTAAATATTACAAAAATAACTAATTTTAATAAGAAAACAGTATCAGTATCTATAGACACGTTTTTATTTTTTATAGGTAGCCCCTATGAAAACGTGAGACCTTCATCCAAAAACGCGAGGTCGGTGACTACTGACCCTTCGCCCGGCACGTCGCCCCAAAGGTGGGGCGACTTCCTTCAAAGGCACGCGCGACCCCCGGAAGCCTTCGATGACAGGAGGGTTTCGGGTGTCTCGGGAATTTCTATGTAAGTTCTTCAGTAGTTGTAACGAATTTATATAGAAGATAAATGTTGATTTTCATTAGTTTTTATGCATAATAATCTTATAATAATATATTACTTCTGAAACAATGTTACAGCAATGAGTGCGAGGCACATATATAGTAAAGTTTATCTTAAATAATACAAACAGAACATTACTCATTTAATACATAAGAGCGGAATTTTAATTTATTCCTAAATATATTCAGCAATTGTTATATTATCGAAGGTAGTGTTTCTCAAATCTTTTTGGCGACGGAACCTTTTTGAAAAGTGAAATATTTGACGGAGCCCTAAACACATTTCTATAAAAAAAGTCCTCAAGCACAAACATATCCTCCTTCCTCTTAGTAACTTCTAAAAAGAAAAGGTCCTCAAGCCAGGTCCCTCCCTTTTGTGGCGATAGTACAATTATTTTCTTCGCGAAACCCCCACAAAAGCTTTGCGTAGCCCCGGGGCTCCGCGGAGCACACTTTGAGTAACACTGATCTAAGGTATAAATATACAGGGTGTCCCATTAGTGCCTAATTGTTTAATATTTCAATTTTTGTTATAGACACGAAAACAAGTTTCAAATAAAAGCTATATGGATTTAAAAAAATACGTATTTTAAAAATATTTTTGGATATACAGGGCGTTGCGTTTAAAAATGTATATTTTTTAAATTGAACATCCTGTATTTTATTTTAGTTTTAGAATGGTTTGGTAATACTGTATTTAACCTTAGAATTTTTTTTAAAAATGTTACAGGGTTGCCAACAAATAATTATTTTATGAAATTAGAGAATGTTGCAGACCCCAAATTAAATTATTATAAATTAGATAGGTTTACAATGATTTAAAAATTGTTTAAAATACATACATAAGATAGTAAGCTAACAAATAGTGGTGATAGAACTGGAATATAAAATAATAGTGTATTATTAAACGAGCAATTTATGGTAGCCATTACTCACCCGAGTGAATAATGGCCATAAATTGCGTGTCTAATACTATACTTTGTCCACGACCATTATGGTTTCTTTATTAAATAAAAGTTAAGTGTAGAATGGAAAGTTTTTATTTAACATAGGTAACTAACTGTTGTTTTTTCAATTTTCCGATTTTCCAATTTTTCGAATTTCTGATTATTCGATTTTTCAATTTTTCGATTTTTCGATTTTTTTATTTTTCCACTTTTCAATTTTCCAATTTTTCGAATCTCTAACTTTTTGATTTTTGATTTTTCGACTTTTTAATTTTCCGATTTTCCAATTTTTCAAATTTCTGATTTTTCGATTTAAAAAATATCATTATGAAAAGTATCGCTCATCTTTAGTTATCTACCGGAAATTTCCAGAATTACAAAATCGTGAATTATCATAATTCACTCTAGTGATATATGGGTACCATATCCTTTTAGTTAGGAGGTAGAATATTGATTTATTATTAAGTGGTCGTGGACAAACCAGTTTTATCACAACTATTCGTTATCTTATAAGTCTGTACATTAAACAATTTTGAAATCAATGTAAATCTACCTAAATTTTGATAATTTAATTTGGGATCTGCATGATTCTCTAATTTCACAAAAAAATTAATTGCTTGGCAACCCTGTAACCCATTCTAAAACTGAAATAAAATACAATTCAATTTAAAAAATATACATTTTTATTTGCCAGACAAAAATGCAACACCCTGTATATTGTCACAAATTCCAAATATTAAATATTTTCCAAATTTTATAAATTCACATTATTTAATAAATTCACCTAACATAGGACATTTACCTCTATTTCAAATTTCAGTAATATAATAATTTTGTAATAAAATACTTTTATTCTCAAGCAAATTAATGTAAATAATTTTTTAGTCTTTATAAGATATTTCCTTTCATGTTAAACAATAATGTGATGTTTGTTTATTTTCAAACAACAGTTTGTTTATTAATAATTTATTTAAACACTTATTTATTTATAACACTATTATTCTAATTTATATATACTTCGAATGTCTTTAAACTGATCACTATTTATATTCACCACTACTAATTACTATTTATCTGCACTGTCAATATATCTACTACTGATGGGTCGCCTCCACCAATTTATATACAAAATTGGTGGTCGAGATTGCTCCCCCACCAAAATTGCCAGTATGTACCAGAAACGTTATCACGTTCTAGAAATAGTATCTCGTTGACCCTGGAATGTTCGCGAAAGTGTCTCCACCATAGTCGTCCCATAGGTTTGGTCTTAAGGGGTTCAATTATGTATAATAAGCGGACAAGTTGAGCCTCAAAGGCCAAATAATACAGAGAGGGACTTGGAGTATTAGAGCATGACGGAATAATGAAATTGCTCACATTACAATAATAAAATCTGTTCATTTTGCTGATTTAACAATTTGTTATGTGTAATAATCAAATAGGTGAATTAACTGGAAAAAGATGCAAAATCAGCAGATGAGTCTTGAAGGTAAATGTTCTGACAAGAAAGATTCATTCAGGTTAGGCCTGAGTAACAGTAAAGAGCTCAGCTCACTATTAATTAGAAAATAAAAATTTCAAGTAATAAAATAAAATGAAATAATAAACTAATAATTAAGTAGTTTGAGAGTTTGTGAACGTGCCCCCACAGAGAAATTTAATGTGGTAAGAAATAATATTTTTTTAGTTATTTTGTCAAGTAAACTTTTATTTCATGTTTGGTTCCTAGTTTATCTTCCATTTATATTTTTTGTGTATGTAAATAATAACTATTGGTTGTATTAATAAATATATATTTTTTTATAATTAGTAATTTTAATTCTTATTCCTACAAGCAGTAATTAAGTAACTTAAAAGTAAATAAATACCCCTCTCCAGGTTGTATTTTGGGTAGAGCAGACTTTATTCAAATTTTGGGAAAGTCCGGGCTACTCAGAATATAGCGTGGCGAGCTAGAGCTCGTTGTGGCGTCGTCAGATAAAATCTGAGCTACAATACCCCCTAGGCTGACGACCACTTCGTGACAATATCTAAAAAATATTTTTAAAATATGTTATTTAATATTTTCCCCAGAAAGTCGAAATAAATAATACACTCAGAACAATACTGATTAAAATTTGAGCACATTAATGTTATAGGCGAGTTTCTTTCCAAGTTTGTTTGAAAACTTTCCGTATAAAATGTTTTATGATGTCTAATGGCTGTTTGGGAAATCAACGGTGTTTTGGTAAAAGGGCGAATAGACCAATTTTTGTATAAATGGGTTTATTGTATTTCCAGTAAAAACATTACTAACTACGCAATATAGTAAAAGGGCGAACTCATATTCCTAAAAATTATAGTTCTATTAAGAAATGCAAAAAAATCTACCGCCAAGAGAATGAATATCCATAAAGATTGCATAAGGAGGGGACCGGCTAAGTTATTTCCTCAGTATCTGTTGAAGTGAGGGCTAGAGCACACGTTTTTGGTGAGAGCAATTTTACTTTATTTGACGGTTACATAATATAAAATAAGAATTGACTTAATTTTTTTAAAATTGGTCCAAGATGTGATCCTGCGGAGCACCTGAGGTAACATTTATTAGCGATGAAATGGAGCCAGCATATCGTAACACATTGCGATCTGTTCGACAGATAATTCTGTAGCCAAGTAAATACCCACCACGAATAATTTCGACAGTAACAATTCCTGATTAACTCTATCGAAAGCTTTTGTAAAATCCGTATATATAGAGTTAACTAGAAGTTTATTTTCAAAAGCCTGTCAATGAGAGAAAATATACAAAGTTATATTATTTTTAATGGAACACCCTGTTTTTTATTTTAGAATTAAAAACTACATCAAAAATAATGTCAGTTAACTAAAGGTTCCCTATTACTATTATTATTAGTTTTCGATTTATTTGAATTTTTAAGGAAAAAAAGTCTCCCAGAAATTAATTGTTTACTCTTGTTTGAATAATTTTTAATGAACTAATTTTTTTTTCTTATGTGGGACATCCTGTATACATCTAACAAATTTTAAATTGTAGCCGTCTGTAACCTACGTATTCCTCCCAAACGAATTTTTTATATCTTTGGTCGTTTTCCCATAAAGCTCCGTCCCGTTGAGCGTGAGCCACCCTGTATATCACTTATTTAAAATATTATGTATTAAAAGTAAAACACACTGTAGCCTTTCCAACATTCTTTACCTTACTCTGAACCCATTTTTAAAAACAATTTCTGAAAATATTATCGTTCGGAGCTGTATTTTTTGTGATAAAAAAGTCGCCGTCACTTGTCGTTTACAACGCGTTGAACTTGGACTTAAGGATTTATTATTCTTGGTGTAAAAAACCTTATAACGTCAAAAAAGAAAGACTAATAATGGTCTACAATTATCAAGACAAGAGCTATGTACATATGCTAACAAGCAAATGCTTGAGGGGAGAAGAGAGAAGATTTGCAAGTTGCTGCAGATCATCAAGCACCGTTAAAAAAGAACGTTCTGTAACGATTCTTTAGTTTTAAAATAGTTTATTTAATAAAACAGTCTATTTATAACGTACTAATTAATTTATGTAATACTTGGACACTCCTATTATTATTTATTACAATTTATCTTTTCTATACAGCGCTATTTATATTAAGCCAGCTCTGCACTAGAACATTCTCGTCTCGCGAACAAAAACTTTTTTTATTATTAATGGTTCCCCACCCACAATTTTTTTTTCTGAATAGTAATTAATATAGTATAAAATATTCTAGGTGTTATATGATAAATAACATGTATTATAAATATAGAAGTAGCCGTATTTTTCCAATTTTCATATTTTTACAAAACCAAACCAGCAAAAAATTGAACCAGCGTCACGAAATGATCACGAAATGCTAAGTTGAAAAGTCAGACGCTAAGCCCTTTAATCTATCACGGTTTTGTGATTTAAGTTATGTTATGAAATATGTATATGAACCAGAAAACATCAAAAAGAATGTAATAATAATTTGTTAAAAAGAAATATCTAAGATCTATTTTTAAAAATGTATGTTATCAATTTAATTACAAATCATTTTTACCATTAAAATAGACACTATATAAATCAAAATAGAAATTAGACGTCTGACTTACTTGCGGAAAGCAGATTCATGTTCTCACTTCCCATAAGATTAAATAGTGCGATAGGTGTCAATTTCCTAAGTGGTCATAGGAAAAATTATTATTTATACAAGGTGGGCCAATGAAAACAAAACGGTTCAAGTGTAGGGTTCTTAATGTCATTATAAAAAATCGCTTGAATACGTCAATTTATTTGTCGATGGAGAAATCCTTCAGACTTATTTCCAAACCCCTAATTTTAACAGGATGCTGTTCACCCCTAAAATCTTAAATGGAAAGTGGGGTTGAGTGACACCTTGTTTGTCTTTTCAATTCTCTTTTCAATGATACCATCTATTCGATCTGCATTTGATCTGATCTAATCTATTACATCTGATATACTAGGTGTTCATTTTTCAAACATGATTCCAGAGATCGGTATAGAAAACCAATGCCATTGACGCAACTATTGACACAGCTATTGACGCAACTATTGACACAGCTATTGACGCAACTATTGACACAGCTATTGACGCAACTATTTACACATCTATTGAATATACAGAAATAGAGCATACTTGCTATGCCACTACGGGTAGAGATGTAACCATGTGTTCAATCCGTGTAAACATAGTTAAAATAAACAGTATAAGTGCTAAAAATTCATATGAAATTTTTCACAATTATTTAAAACTTTTTTTTTGGGTGATTTCTTGGGAATAAGGTTTTGTAATAAAAAAAATCAAAAATGGTTTATATTCTCAAAGCTTTCGGTCCCGGTCTTTCTATTTTTAGTATTTTAAAAATTTTTCTTTTTTAATGTGTTTTCCTCTTCATTTACTATTACTTTATTGTTGTTATTTTTCCTTTTATAATTTATAAGTTTATAATATTATAAATTTTAATTTGGTTTGTGTTTTATTAAATTTTATAATAATATAAACTTATGTAAAAGGAAAAATAATACCAATAATGTAATAGTAAGTGAAAAACATTTAAAAAAAAATTTAAATTAATAAAAATAAAACTACTGAAAAAGGCCATCCAATTGGGGCCAAAAGCTTTGAAAATATTTTTTTTTCACAAGCAATTGCCTAAAAATAGTTTTAAATAATTGTGCAAAATTAAGTAATACCTAAGTACCAATAATTCAAGTTTTTTTTATTATTTTAAGTTCCCTAGAGGTATAGAGTGATCAATGAACACTCTTTAAACAAAATATAAATTTTTTTCTACACCCACATGGATATTAGCTTATCTACAGATTACAAAACGAGAAAGTATACCATGACGTTCAACTGAACGAATATGTTTCGTATCCAATCTACCTAGTTCATATTTTAGTCACCCGACTACTATTATTTTTTAAATTTTATATAAGTGACAATTCTGTCAAACTAATTGTCAGTATATTTTTTAATTCTATCTATATCTGTAGCGTGTGGAGGGTGGGTTAACCCACGGCACCTAGGCCTTACTAGGCCCAGTGTGCATCCTCCTAAGTAGATAGGCACCTCCTAGCTTGTGAGCCAGCCTACAGATTTAATGTAGTGGACAATGTACCAAGAGGTGTTTTTCTTATATCGGCCCGTTTTAGCCAATTCTCGCCGAATACAAATCTTCTAATAAATGAGAGCGTCGGGCAATCGTAGAGGATATGCTCAGTACATTTTTTAGTTATTGAGATTAAATAATCGTAAAAATTAGTTATTCCTGTGTAGAATCGATAAATAATAGCATTTCCATTTTTATTTCGTCCACATTATTTATAAATAAATCTTAAATTGTAATCAAACTATATGAAACTAATTTAAGTACGAGTATTATAACTAAAATCGTAAGTGTGGCGATGGTCATGAGTACACGGCCGTTTGGCTTCAATGAGAAAGGATCGGATTCAAATCTTGGCTGGGGACTGATTAAATTAAATCTTTTTATTTCATGTTTATTTTATTTTATAAATTAGTAAAAATCATAAATTATTTTAAAATAAGTTATTTTCGTTAGTGGGTCGTAGAAAACTGTATAACTCGAGTGGATTACCCATATCCACTTTTGTTGCACAAACTACTACTACTACTACTACTACTACCTAACTCAAACGTAATGAACATATAACATGAAACTAGACTAATTTGTAATCGTACCTTTTTGATCCAGGCTTGTAATACCGGTTCCATTCAGCCCTCTGATCACTTTATTAATTATTTTCACTGCTGTGCTTTTATGAAAATGCATAAAAACATTTTTAGTAGATAAATGCGTTATGTATACGAACGAATGAAAATCAACAATAGTTTTCAAATATCACTATTTGTATATACTTATACACATACCTACACAAGGTGTTTATTTTTTGTTTGCATGGTTTTTTTCACAGCATGAACAACCGAAATGCACCGTCACGAGATGTAAATGAAAACGAGGATGCATACGTACCGATGACAAACTTAAAAATGTAAGGGATTAGTTTTTATTTGTGCCTTAGTTGTATTGTCTAAAAGACCTCTTATACATATAGATTAGCAAACCAATCGTGAAATATGTTCGTCAATACAGATTCTAGGTCTAATTCGCTTTTGAGGAACTCAAAAACGAGAGAAATGCACTTAGTTTTTAATATTTTGAAAATATGAAACAACTTGGTTTTTCACAATGCAATATAAGAAATGATAAAACATTAAAACTATCTAAATACTCTCGAGTGCTTCGGTGCATGAATCAAAGTTACTTTGATATGTATTCCGAAGAATAGAGCAATGAAAAAGCCGACGCGCCCGCTCAGAGAGGTACTGAATCTGAGTTCATAGGACCAGAACCATTTCTTTCATATTGCAAAGACCACTGCCAAAGGAAGGCGTTTATGCCTAATACTTTTATGAATTTCTCTGCCTAGCTCTAAATAGAGTAGGAATGATCGTAATCTTACGGGGGTGTTGATAGGACATTGTCATCTACGTAACCACATAAGAATGATAGGTCTGCAACAAACATCGGCTGCGAAATTGGTGTGCACCCACTACTTGGCGACAGTGCTTCTCCGGTCATGTCTTGGATGTGTGGAGGCTCGAAGGTCCACCAATTTAGCTGACTAGCGGTTAACCATCGACGACGTGGAATTAATAACGATGAAACCACCTGCGCTTAGTGCCACCATGCGAATCCCAAGTGGTTGGACCCAAGCCTGATTGGGGTAAGTCTGCCGAAACCTCTCAGGGGAGCAGAGGGATGCCTGAAAAGGTAAAAAAACCTCGGACTGCCTATTCTGCATTCTGTAAGACGAATCTGTAGAGCATATTCTCTGTGTACCTGCTCTGCCTTAGAAAGAACTAGGTTCAAGATCTTTGGCTTTACCCGAGCGGCTACCTACTTTAAACCTCTTATACCTAATTGAACCATAGCCTTCATTAAAATGTGGTTTGTACAGTGAACTATAATTTAGGCATGAACCACAATAGATCAATCTGGGCCGATGTGGAAGGCGATGTGATTATCCTACATATTTTCAACTTAACCAAACCTAAACCTTATAGAACAAAGAAGAAGCTAGGTATAGTTACTGTTAAAAATTGAGATTCGCTTAAATTGGGAAAAAGTTTCCTCTCTATGGGGGCAATAATATCGAATGACAAGATCTCATATGCGAGTATCCACTACCGTCTTTGGGCTCTAGCAGTATTTATTGTGATGTTTATTTTAGAACTGACTTAAAACAAAAATTAAACGTATAAATAAAATGAATGTATTTACAACTCGCGCCCAAAAGCCACCAAATACTCGTAAGGGTAATCAAAATTTGATCTTCTAGTTATTTTTTAATAAGATTGTAATATTTAGGTCATGCAAAAGTAATTAATAAGTTCTATACTTATTTAAATTAATTGCAATGCAATTAGTTTATGTTTCGGAAAAGTAGCGTAATTATGACGGAATTAGTGTAATTCAGCTTAATACCTTTCCCTACTAGGATTCCTCCTAAACCCCGTGATTTTCTCTTTGTTGAGTTCTTCTTATCGCGGCCGGTCCATACAAAAGTATTGACGAATTGTCCGATGAGCACAAGATTATGATTGTTCGGTTTACTAATCTATATGGTCTATAGGTGATTTGAAGAGAAAGTGACTCCGTTTGCGGTACCGATACAAAATTTAGAAATTGGCTTGATGTATTGTCATGCAGACCGTTATAATAATTGTGATATTCCGGGTTATTATTTGCCAAACGAAATAAATTTACATAAAAAAAAGTTAGGAAAACATTATCAAAAGAGTAATGTGTAACCTATATTTGTAGGTTGTTTGATAGCAAAGAACCAGTTTATTTTCCATTTGATCTCCTGTGTTGTTTGTGAATATATAAAGTGACCTCATTTCATTTTTTCTGTGCGATATCCAAATATATGTTTCTTATAATTTATCAAGAATAGAAAAATTTGAAAGAAATGTCACGTACCTTCTCTAGTAATTCATAATAAACTATCCTCAAGACATTCCAGAAGTCCAGGTTCTCTGATGTAGGTCAGTAGGTCTTTTATGAATGTTCGCTGACCCTCCGCTGCAAAGATAAAGTGTTGTTATTTTATATTTGGTACATCATATAGCATTATTGTTTATTTATTATAGACAGTTGCGTAATATGGATTAATATAAGCATATGTATCTACTAAACGCATCTCAAATTAGGTTTTATTACGGATTTATCTGACGATATAACCGCGGTATCAAAGTAGCGCATGGCTGTGTATCTTTATGTCTTCGACATGATCTGATTTTATTTGCCTGGTGATCTATGTAGGCTTTGTTATTCTATTGTTTTTTATACTCTCTTATATATTTAAAGTCATTTTCTAAAGTTTTCTTTTTTTATGATTTATAATATTCTTTCTTGCTAGAATTAACTGGACGCCTAAATGAGAGACACCTATTTCAGTGTTATAAATTTTATGATATACTGCAATGTTATACCGTGGTAACCAACCTCTGTTTATGGTTGTTAGGGGCAATCCCAGTAAAAATTTTAACCGACCACTTAATAAAACCACAACAACAATCATTAATTTTAACAGTTATGACTGAACTGTCAGTTGTCATTATTTTAAGTCACATTTGGAAACTTGTAATGATGGTGTCAAATGATAACATTTTATTTGATTTTAGGTTGTAAAGCGTAGTTAATTGCAGTATATCATAAAACGTTGTATGATATTGTAAACGCCAAATCTAAAGAACCAGCGCAAATGCTCAAGTTCGTTTACTTAAAAATCGCCACGCCCATTCACAATTTGAACCTTGTCCTTGCTTACGGTTAGTAGCGTAACGACTAGATCATTGTTTGTTTCTTATTTCTGTGTTTTGATTAAAGTGACTGGTTTTATTTTTGATAAAGTCTTCTATTGTGGGTGATAAAAAGCACAGATCTGTTATTAACGGACAAAGTCGTGATGTAATATACAATGTTTTTAAATATTTTGACGCAACAAAAAAGGAAGGAGTTACTTTAGATGATATCAAACTTCAAACTGCACAAGCAACAGGTAAACATACTCTGTAGTTTATTTGCAATTAAACTTGCGTAGTTTTCCATATTTTTTTGTATTTTACACACATATCTATGCATTTTATTTTTGATTTATATTTAAATTTTTAAAATTTATCTTGTTTCTAAAAATTTTTGTTTCCTAATAAATGTAAATATATATACAAAATAAACTAATTAGTTAAAGTAGGTACTTAAGAGAAATAAATTAATAAAATTCCAATAAGATATCATTACCGGGATTATCTCACAGAAAACTAAGAACAGATAAAGAGATTTAATTAAGCTCAGTTATTAATATCTAATTGTTCACTTAAGAGGATATTTGAATTTTTAAATCTATTTATTTCAAGTGTTTCTAAATGGTTTAATTTAATGCCTTTATTCTCAAAATGTGAAACAATTTTTGCATAAACGATTGATTTTCAAAAAAAAAATAGGGTTTGTAGAATAATTTTTGTTTTTAGTATAACTATTGTAATGTTTTAAATACCTTTTTTTTTAAAGTACGGCCCGTTTAATCAATATACAATTTTACCACAATTTAATTTATTTGAATAAGGATAATTTCCTGACCGTAACAGAATTTTATATAAATACCGAACGGAAAGAGGTAGAACAGCCTTAACCTAAAGTCGGCTTACTTAAAAATAATGATTTTTTAATTGACTATAGAATTATGTCCTAATAATAACACTAAGCATTATGTATGAACAAGTATCATTCACTATTTTCCATTTATTTTATGTCTTAAAATATATGCGCCCCTGGTTTACAATTTTCTAGGTAAGCTACCAATGCTATTCATCGGTAGGCGTGTTCGTAGCATTATGAATGCGCGTCCTTGATTCTTTAGATTTGGCGTTTACTGTACACGCCCGTTACCTGATCTCTATGTGCTCGCACGGTCATATAACGTGCTCGCTAGCGCACATTAACGACTCGCATGTAATGATCTAGGTAACGGGCTTATAACGTTAACTACTACTTAAAATATTTCTTAGTTTTAACCATTTTTCATTTCATTGAAATGTGATTTGTCAACGGTACGAGTAGATATATTTTCAAAATAGTTCTCCTCACAATTTATTTTTTCAGGATTCATGAATAAAAAGTCTTAAAACTAGCGAAAATTTTATTTCCTTTCGTTTCATTATGGAGAAAATTAGGGAAAAGAGAATAAGCGTTATACCAATTGAAATAGTTCATATGGAGCAGTTTCAAAACTGTTTAACGTTTAAATCATCTATGTAATGAAAGACGAGAGATTCGAGATTATTTTTAAATAATGACAACGGAGTTACTTTAAAAAAATTTGTATCACACTCAAGCAGACCTAAAATCTAATATATATAGACAAATAGTTTTTTCAATTTTTTTTTATTCATATAGAAATATTGGTAATATTTTGTTAATATTGCAGTAACAAAGTTACCCTACATCTGAAAATGGTCGTTCATTGAAAATGGGACATTAATATCTCAAATACTTTATATGTTATAAGATTTAAAGTGGTTTTCAATATATTTTTTCACCCTGTATTAATTTAATTTCCTTTATCTCTCCCAGAGTGAAGAAGTGACATCATCTGGTTTTTAAGTGTATTGAAATCCATTTTTATAATTTTCCCTAATTGCCAACTTTGAAAATAAATAGTTAATTAATAAAATCCAAGTCTGTTTGCATTCACGTCTTTTTAGTCAATACATATTTTATTTTGAATCGCATTATATAATATATTTAGAAAATACTCAATATTTAAATTTGGTATAGCTTAAAGCTTAGGGAGCTTGCTTATATTTGTGCTTTATTTATTTATGTTTTATTCGCTTTTTTATGTTTGCAAATGGTTTGACCTTTAAAATATAATAATCACAATATAAATAAATCAGTATATTGCAACTTTTAAAAAATTACATGATATTTGTTTAGTCAATCAATATGATAAAAATCCGTATCAATTAATAGTAAACATAGAAAAAAACTATGGTAAATTTTCAAGGATAATACCACAAGAGGTGAGAATTATTACAGAATATTTTGTTGTATTTTTGAAAATTATGCGCCTAAATTTCACGAATCAAAGTCCTCCTTAAAATACCACTTCTCACTTAGCTATCCTTACGTCAAAATCTTCAACGACAACCTTATATATTAAGAAAGTTTATGAAAGAGCATACTTTTTGAATACATAATCAATTATTCAGATAATCCTATTAGTGTTACAAATAGTTAATTTTTGATTCTATTTAAATACAATAATTGCGATATCCTTCATTATTTTTTGTTGTATCAGTTTGTAAATTTGTCACATCAGAAAAAAAAGTTGTACTCTTCATGTGATAATCAATAATTAATAAAACATTTTTGTGAAAATCTACTATAGAATCGTTTTGCTGTCAATTAATTATTTTTACTGAGCAATATACTGGTTAAAGAGTATACAATAATTATAATATTTGAGAATCAACTTCCATACATATTCTTTAATTAAAAAGTAAAAAATGAAAGGTCAAACCATCCTGGGAATGTCTCCATTATGCACTAAGCATGTTTTAGGCGCAACTCAAAACCTTACCAGAGCCTGCCGATCATGAAGCGCACGAAACCAAGAGCGATTTTAGATGTTTGTCCTTTGGATGGCATAACTTTTAATTTTAAAGAACAGCTAGATCTACGAAAAGTCAGCATGGCATCAACCACATCCTACCAGTCGGCAACCTCTTGCGGGTTCCATAGTAATTCTGATTCTTCTAGGGAGTCGGATAACAGTCTCTACCAGATTCCTTGCGTACCCAAGCAGTTCATGGACTCCAGTGCGCACTCTGAGGATCTGAACTACCTGAGTGCTAGCAGGGAGTCTGATCAGATCAGCTTGTCTTCAACGGCGTCTAGTTGCGGGTACTACTATCCTAAGAGGCCGGATAGCGGGGGTATTCCCCTATACATTCCTATGAATAAGGGTGGTGGATATAGTCCAGGATCTAACAACAAAGTTTCGGTAAGTGTATTGATGGAATCATTTAACGTTTTCCATGTTTATAACGTTCAAATAGTTTCTAAAAGTTTGAGGTGGTATTTTAATTATGCATTATGCATACTTGTTTAGCACATTCATTACATGCTGACTATTTTTTTCCAGCCTACTCCCCCAAAAAAGCCTCCACGCAGGAACATATCAATTTCACCGACACACGCGCAGCCTATGTCAATGTCCGTAGATGGAGTGAGCAACAATGCGTACGAGTACCTCTTTTTGGCACATAGCGGTACGAGAAGTCAAGGAAATTTGAACGATTTCGACAAGGAAAACAGAAGAGATAGGCTAGGCCATGGAAGGAGTATGGATCAGTACGTTGAAATGAATGTGTTTAATATCGCTTTGGATGATGAACCAGAGAGGCCGAGGTAAGTCATATAATTTAATTATTTACTCGTGCTACATATTTTTAATATTTACATAAATGCTTTTGAGAGACGTCTTGATGAGAAATTTAAATTCTCAAGTACTACTTGGTTGGTGTTCTCGAACACACAGGTTATTTAACTGTTAAAAAACTTGTCATTTTTGAACACGGCATATATTACACAAAAAATTGCTTTAGTACTAAATCTATCATACAATAAATTGTGGCTAATCATCATGGAGTACCGGATCAAGAGATCTGTCACAAATTGTCCGAAACTGGCGGCCGACATAGCCTGAATTTAATATTTTAAATTTTATACATAAGTAGATTTTACGCAACTCACTCGGAATTATAAAATTAAAAGTTAAATGTTGAGTTAATTGAACTAGCTCCAATCTCACACAGACGTCTTAACCTCACTATAAACCTTTCTTTTTATTCAACCATAGAAGATAAATGAAGTACAAGTATTCAACTTTAAACAATAATATAAGTTATCAATTTATTAGATACATAACAGTTTTTTATTTATTTTTAATATAATTTTGTTTTTTAGTTTATCGCATCATTTAAATTATCTTAAATTATATATTCTTTTAGAAAATGTTTTGACAATGTAGGTTATTTTATGAGTAAAACAAAATCTGTACTCGACGAGACGAGAGACATTTTCTCTCGTAAACGTGAATTTTTCGTTTCTCTCGAGCTCTTTCGAGTCATTTACTTTTTGCTAATTTGAAATGTTCAATTGCTTATCCAACTTAAAATTTAAACATCAGATTTACTATATCACACGTATTCTATATATATAAAATAGTAACAAATAATACGTGTGTAATTGGGATTTTATAAATAGTAATTTAAAAAAAAAAATATTATTCATGTTATTTATTTAAAATTGCAAGTTTTTTATCGACTGAACATTTAAATTCCAAATGAAAAAGGTTATATTCATCGTGATTTCAATTTATTCTAGGTATTCAGTAAATCAATGATAAGTATGTATTAGAATTTTTTGAATTTTTATCAAATTTGATGTTGATTATGGATTTCGAAGTGCTGCAGAACTTTTTAACCAGATTTTTTTTGTGAAATGTAGAATAAAATTTTCCATTGGTCTAAAACTTTTTGGGGCACACTTTTTGTGTCAGATTTTATGGTGTACAACTTCTTAGGTAATTATATCACGAATTATTCCAGACAACAGACAAACGTCATTATTATACAAGTTTTATAGCTGAGTAAGAAAGTTTGACCAAATAAAATAGCGCAATAGTGTTCCGTGCCATAGATGTTTTAAATTGAGGTGGATCATTCCAAAATGCATCTTGTCCATTTTTTATAAAATCTTAGTTTGCAACAGAGATAACATAAATTGTCATTTTAAACTGCTTCTTAACCCATTATGAAAAGTCTAAAATTACATGTCAGTTCAAAACGCATCATATCCATAACCAGTATCGCTTCAAACCGAGTAATATTCACCAGGCTTGCATTTTAATCACAAGGTTTTGCTCACCTGTTAAGCCCGATAAAGTTAAAGACATTGATACATTGCTGAAATCTCACTTTGGTCCTGAGTGGATAAAAAATCCAAAATGTAACTTTTTTAAAAAAATTCTGGGGAAGATTAACGATAAATCAAATTCAACTGAACCTGAATTGAACGATTGTGAAGAAAATAATGGACTTTTGTGAATGCACCGATGAATCCAAAGCTCTAAAAATATACCTATGTAATTAAAAGTTCTTATTTTTATTTTTTATCCCAATTTTTATTATAAAGTTTTAGTCGTTTTTAGGTATACATTTAGTAGATTTTAGGCAAGAATGTATTTTGACTTTTCCTCTTAATTCCTTTCATGAAATCTACGAAATTTAAAATAATTTTTTCGTGTTTTAGGAAAAAAAGTCTTCATAATTAAGAGTAATTCCAAAATGCGTCTTATCCATTGCGTAGTTTCAAAACGCGTCTTATCCAAATTATATAATTTTTTTACATTTATATAGCAAAAATGATTTTATCAAATGGATTTGGACGTAACCAATAATCATGATTTCTTATAGATATAATAAGAACATAAAACTATGTATAAATGTGTGAATAAAGATTTCTTCCATTTGCCAAAATTTTATCCTAGTGGATAAGATGCACTTTGGAATGACCCGTCTCAATTAATAATTCGAGTTGATAGATTTAGCTGACAGGCGCTGATACATAGTATCAGTACAGCAGAGCTCTCTTTCTTTATATAAAAAAAACTATCCAACGGACAGCAATCGTGATAATGGACTCATCCAGTGATTTTTAAAAATATTTTTATCATATAATCTTGGCCCGCTATAACACAGTTGACCGGGTCCAACCTCTCTGCGACCTACCCTGTGGCTACAATTAAATGTTGAAATTTGAATTTCGGGGCTAAGGTGGATTGTGACGTGTACCAATAGAAACAGGCTTTATTTTGCAATGTTGCCATATCGATAAAACTAGCAATATTCCTTGTCATTTATTATGTTTAAAAGAAGGATAGAAGTACCGATGGACGGTTCCGTTTACACCGAGTACGGAGTACAAAGACGAACGGTCTTTTCCTTTATCCATGCCAAAAATATTCACAGCGCAAAAAAAGAGAAGAAAAACTAGAAAAAGAAGAATATAAAATATAACCTTACATTTCAATTTTCAATCATTTAGTATTTCATTGTGAATACTTATTGTATTATCAGTGGTTGCCTCTAATTCTATTGTATTTATTTTTGGAAAAGTGTTAAAGTGTATTTAAAAAGAAAATGAATCCAGGTTTTGTGAAAGCAGATTCCAGAAATTTACCACAAGTAGATGTGGAGATGGTGATGCAATTTTATTCATCGAATACTGAACACTATAGTGCCGAGATGAAAAATATTAAAACTGAGAGGTAACTAAACTACTCTACTGGTAAAAATAAAGATTTTTACGAATAACGGAATATTTTGAAACATTTTTTCTAACTAATTTTACGATAAAACTACTTATTATCATTACTATTTTAAATTTGGCTTTCATATTTGTTAACTAATAAAATATGTACATTTTAGAGCATCAAAAGAAAAGTATGGAGACAATGCAGTAAGTTATGTTCAGTTAAAAAGAGATGGCAACATATGTACCATTAGAGCCAAAATTACCCCTGAACACAAAATTCACAAGAAACCATATAATGTTGAAGTGAAAATTAATGAAGAGGATGAGAAAATTCTCAGTTCTGCATGTACTGACTGTGCAGCTTCCTCAGGTAATTATTAAAGTTAATTTACCTGGTATTTGGTAAGAGTAATAAATAACTGTTGTGTTAAACAAGATGAAACATTAAACTATAATATTTTGAATTTATGTATGTAAGTGATAGATATACTTCTACTTATTCAACGAAGACTGTAGTAAGTCAATTGAGAAAGTCAGTGTTTAATATTCATTTATTTAATTTTTGCTTTCTATGCTCCACCTAAACATTTTCGATCTAATAAATTAATAAAAAAAACAAAAAAGATTGACATCTGTGTGCACGTAGTTTAGATTCAAAAGGAAAGACTTGTATTTCATGCAAAACTTTTTAATTAATAAATGCAAAGCGCTTTCGGCATTGTGCCATCATTAGTGCTTATTGTCCACAAACATATCCACCAAGTTCTTAGTCATCCTCGCTCCCAAAATTAAATGAAATGAAATAAAAATGAATGTATAAAACAATTTAAATTTGAAAATATTGCTAATAGTAATAATTATGATTTAGCAATTTGTGAATATCCAGAAATATCTAATTTTGGGAGCGAGGATGACTAAGAACTTGGTGGATATGTTTGTGGACAATAAGCACTGATCATGGCACAATGCCAAAAGTGCTTTGCATTTATTAATTAAAAAGTTTTGCACCAAATACAAGTCTTTCCTTTTGAATAATAAATTAATATTTGACACTGATTTTCTCAATTTGAGCAAAATTGACTTTTATATTTAAAAATGAAATGCTTAATATTTTAGTTTTATTTTAATATAATTTTTAGGTGGGTGCAAACATTCAGTGGCATTTTTGTTTTGGCTCCATCGTCGTAGTGAAGAACCTAGTGTCACCTCAGTTGAATGCTATTGGAAAGCATCGAAATTATCCAAAGTAGGAACAGTTGAAAAGTTTCTATCTGCAAAGGATATGGCTAATGCAAAACCACTTTTAAAAGAAAAAAATTCAGAAGTTAGGGAACGCTTTATAAAATATATAGACAAAGCTTCAGGTGGAATTTTTGATTTTTATTATGAGTCTGAATTGTCAAAATTCAACATACATCATTTAATTATGAAGTATAAGAGTGAGCAAACTACATATTCAGCAGAAGATTTTTTTCAATTTGCCAGTGCTAATATGGGAGCTAATTGTGCAGTTGTCGAAGAACAGACAAAAGAACAGTCAAATTGTCCCAATTGGTACCATTTACGCTTTGGTCGAATAACTGCATCCAAAATTTATGAAGCTGCTAAATGTAAAACAAGAGAAGGAAGTCTTCTGGAAAATATAATGGGTGCAACAAAGGCTTTTGAAACCTATGCTGTTTCAAGAGGGAAACGATTGGAACCCTTAGTTTTAAAACAAGTTGAAATAGCAAAAAAAATTAATATTAAAAAAGTAGGCTTGCTTTTGTCCAATCGGTATCCGGTTTTAGGAGCATCCCCAGATGGCATAACTGAAGAATTTTGTGTGGAAGTGAAATGCCCAAGCAAAGAAAAAACTGTGGAAAACTACATAAAAAATAATGAAATAGTAAAAAAATATTATTATCAATTGCAAATGCAATGTTTTTTTTCTAATAAAGATAAAGGTCTCTTTTGTGTAGCTTCTCCAGATTTTGAAAATGACAAAGTTGTAAATATATTTGAAATCTCATTAAATAAGGAAGAAATTGAAAATATAATAGACTTGGCTTTAACTTATTGGAGAGATAATGTTTTTAATTGTTTAATTAATTTATAATTTGTAATATTGAAGGTCAATAAAATATATAGGATATTTCGTACCTACACCGCCAAACTTTAAGATGTGGCAGAGAACATCAATTTGTTTTTTTGCTTTATAAACATAAGGTTTAAAAAATCACTTTTTAATCAATATGTTAAGTACGTTTTAACAGATTTGCAGTTTGCTGATATCTTAGTTATGTATCTTTGGACCTATTAGCATGTATCTAAAATTTCCGTAAATCTATAATTTTTTTCTGAAAAAGAACAACATCCTGCAAACTTTTTAAAATTTTTATTAAACAACTAAAAATATCAACTTGTTTGTCCCTTGATTTTTCCTGTCTCGGTTCCTTTTTAAGTTGTATTTTTAGCTACTTGGGAGACATTCAAAAGTTGGTGTTTTTTTTTTTTAACTAAATGAGAATAATATCAAGACACAAAAAAGTGTTACTTTTAATGGCCTTATTCAAAACAATGATAAAAATATCAATGTGTCGTTGTTTTTGTGTAAAATTCCCTTTTTCGAAAATGAAGCGTTTTAGTAAAATGATTATTTAGAAAAAAAAAATTTTTTGATGTTTCATACCACCCCTTAATGTTTGGCAGTATAGTTATGAAACGCCCTGTATAATAAAACAAAAATAAACTTGTATTATTTTATTAATGGTCCTTGAGTATTTACAATAGCACATACAATTATAATTATTTCATCTATTATACTAAGATAATTTAAATCTAATCTAGAATGAATATCTACCATTTTAAATTCTCTAATTCTTTTGATAATGCGTTCTATATGAATTCGAAGTGCTGCTATTTGTTTGGCCCTCCTCACCTCTGTTGGCGTCAACTTAGTGCCTTCTGAGACACTTGGTGGTCTAACTAACTTACAATTCGTTCTATTTAATAGTTCGTCAATATTTTTAAAACCCCTATCAGCCATGATGTCACAATTTTCAATTTTATTTACAAAACCACTGACATTAACCAAATTGGTATCTGTTATACGACCACCATACCCTTTAGATATGAAATTTATAAAACCATTTGGTGTGCCACTTATTAAATATTTAATGGTGTTACATTTCTTGTATTCTGACCATGATTGACTTTGGTGAATAGGGTTAGATGGTTTTTGAATTTCTATCTCAAAGCAATCTATAATGAATTTAACATTACTATACCTATATATAAATGGGATAGGCAATAACAATTTTATTTGTTGATGAGTTGGAAAAAAAATAAAATTTTGAAGCACGTTGGCAATTTTTGGCACACCATTTCTAAATATTTGCTGAATTCTGGTATCACTCAGACCAAAATCCAGAGCTAATCTAAAATATACATCATTTAAATGTATTTTTTTTAGACATACAAGAACATCTCTGTATGTTATTGTCTCAATTTCGGTAATAAATTTGGTGAGATTATATACATAATTTGGTAAACCTAAATAAAATTTTGAATTTTTTTCTATAATATAAAATGTTGTTTGTCTTCGTTTGTCCATCATCATTATATTTTCTTCTTTTAATAAATCTTCATCTGAAGAAGAAGACATTTCTGTGGGGATAGTTGAAGAAGAACTACTAGTAACCACTTCGCCCAAATGGCTGACTGATGGTTTAATCATTTTAGATGGACCAGCAACACTGATTTCCTCAATTTTTCTTTTAATAGGCTCTCTTTGTTGTTCTACTATTGGTCCAAGATTTTGTCGTGGAACACCTACCTCGACTTTTCGTTTAGTAGACCCGTCTTGCGGTTGCACTAAAGGCCCAAGATGTTGGTGTGGAATTACTCCCTCTCGCAATTGACATCGTGTTCCACCTACAAGCTGGAGTTCCCTGTAGTTAATTATATCATTCGGACCCTAAAAAAAAAACATTTTTAAATAAAAAAAAGTAAATATTAACAAAAAGAGAGAAGAGCACTTGTTTTTTTTAATTGTAGTAAGGTAATGTAATTATTAATTTGATACAAAGTTCACAAACCAAAATTAATGAACACTGGATGAAGTCCTGTAAATGTAGTCTCATTTTTGTAACAATATTTTTAGCCCAATGATGCCTATTTAGACCAAACTAGTAGTTACTACAAATTTTAATAAGTGACTTATGAGTTTAGTTTTATCTTTGTTATTACTTGAGCCATTGTGAGAATGGATAATGTATACAAATTTCATATTGCCATTTTTAGTTAAAAAAAATATCAAACTCAAAAAGTAATAAAAGTACATACATCAAAATGATTTTCACAGCAATGATAGCGTCCTCCTCCTTTAGGAACATTTTCTTTTCCAACAGCTGCAAACCATAGCTTTCGTTTTCCCCAATCTCTTGGAATCGATAAGAAAATCTTGTTGCAGTTTGATGATTTGTTTTTGCAATTTGGTACAAAACAAATCTTTTCCATTTTAATAACTGAAACATAATTTAGGTATGTTAATTCTTTATGTTTACCAACATTTTTTTTATTATTTAACTTGAATTAGTTTTGACATATATATAAAAATATCTAGCACTGCATTCAAAGTTTTAGGAAATTATGTATTTTATTTTCAAACAGAAATAGTCTTATTTAATACATACCAGATATTTTTCCACACAGCGCGTACTTAATAATATAAAATACTTATAACTAATATTGTCCAAACCAAATAAAACACCTAATAAATGAAATATGAAACACAAAATACAGTAAAAAAAGTAAAAGTAAACAGAACAGAGACCAAGCGTCAACAAAATGTTACTGAGGTTAGTAAGGTTAACTGGTTAACGTCATATGTCAAAATAAATTCAAAAGAACAAAGCGTTATATGAAGATATTCATACAACGAACAAAGCTATAATCTTGGCAACACTGTAGAGAGTAAAACAGTAATTATTGGTTAAGAAGCGGCGCCACTTTCAAAATCTATTAATTACTTATTGTCGATTTTTGTTATTTAATGAATTTTATAAAAAAAATTAAAATTAACATAAGCGACTAGGTCCCTTAAAGTAACTATTCATTAACACAAAACCAGGAAATTCGTTCCTACTGGATGAGTCCATTATCGTTCGGTCAGATTTTTCTGGGGTTACTTTTGGAGATAAATTAGAAACACAGCAATTTTTAAGCGTTTTTTTTAGAAAAACTGTCGAACAAGTAAAACAAACGAACCTATTATATATTTTTGAAAACACGCTTCAAAATACTTTCATTTGATATCACACGATGGCATCAGAAACATTTTAACTTCCAATTTAACAAATGATATATGTTTTATCACGAGACGATACGAGATGACAGAAAGGAACTAATTCGTTTTTTATTGTTATAGGAGTGAACTTCAACGCGGTAAGAGTGAAGATTTGGACAGCAGAAAAAAACCCGAACCAATTGCAATAACCTCAATGTACGAAAATATGATCATTAAGCAACAGAATCCTCGAAGAAAACTCAGAAGACATCCCGAAGTCTACGAAGATTACGACTACCGAAGAAAGCACAAAGACAAAGATGAACCGGTCGCAAGTTCTTCTGCTCCGGAAACAACTTTCGTCTCAAACGCCTTCATCATGATCTCCGACGATAATAACGGATCGTCGAAAAACGTTTTGAATTCGGTGAGGTCTGAAAAGAAAATGTTAAGGACCGATTACCCATTGAGCCCTACACATTATAATCAGCCTCCGACGCCTGATCATCCCCCTCCGTCTGCGATGCAGGCTGAAAGTATTATTTATGAAAAAATTCGTCCTCTAAGTCAGGTGAGCTTGTGAGAGCATGTTTGTTAGGAGGGTTTGTTTTCAGAGGTTTTATATCCAAGGTTATAATATTTATATCTACTATACGTCCATAGTAATCTGTTTATAGAAGAAAATAAATCACGACAAAAATGTATTTTGAACAATGCAAGGATGACGAATTGCAAACAATTAAAACTTTTATTGCTACGTAAATTATAGCAAAGGCATGCCAAATAATGGAACGAAAATGTACATAGCCGAATTATGTATGTAGATTCGCCGACAAATTAACTAAAAGTTGAAAAACATATACGTAAGTTGTCTACATATGGAAAACTTTTTTAGTTTTATCAAAAAAATATATTCCTTATAAAAAATTCTGCATCGTCTAAAACTTGATATTCAACCAGATAATAAATTTATTGAGCAGCATACGAGGTGCGTCAAAAAATATAATATTTGGTATTTGGTATTTTAGGTGTAAAAGACCATACACAATTTTTTGTGAACTTTTCTGTTATTAATTTTAGGAAAAATATTTATTCTTAATAAAAAGTTGTGCATGGTCTTAAAGCTAAAATACAACAATCAGATATCAGTCGTATACGAGGTTTGTCAAAAATGTACTTTACTTTTGACCAAAAATTTTTTTGACAAACCTAGTATACGATGGTTGTATTTTAGGTTTTAGACCATGCATAATTTTTTACGAAGAATAATTTTTTTTATAAAACATTAAAAAAGTTTTCCATATATAGCCAACTTACCAACTGTATAGGAGTTTTTCTAAATGGAATAAAATTACCGAGATCGGTTCAAAATATCTCAATATTTTAAATTTTGTTCGAAATTTAGGAAAATTGTTTGAATATTAAATTCTATGTACACTGTTCAACAATTAAACTGGATAATTAGCTATAACAACGTATCGAAATTTTTAATCCCATTTATGTAAAAACAATCAATAAAAGTCTTTAGTTTTCTAATAAAAACCTAATGTGTCCGTTTAATAATACATTTAGAAGCAAATAGGTATTAAAAAGATAACATTGTTTATTATTCGCACTCATAAACAGCTAATAGAATAATTACAAATATTTACAACGTTGCCACATATTAGAATATCACAATCTATTGAAATACTAAATTCAATTATTGAGCAGTGTTTATTTTTTGGGGCATAGTCTATATTCTTCCGTCGTGTTGAGTCTGCCGTGCAATCTTTTTCATGCGAAATTACCGTAATATTCTCTAGATTTTGTTGTTTTTCAATCCTTTAATTTGTAGATAAGTTATTTATTACATTTACGCGAATGTGTTAAAAATAAATTGTATTTATTTTGCTGCACTTATCAATCAGGTTTCAATCATAGGAACTAAGCTTTTTTGCAAAAAAGTGTTCTATTAACTAACGGTAAGATTATCTTTATAGTTTGGGAAGAATCGGTGCATGAGTCTCGACGCAACAATCCTTTAAAAATATGCCAAATATTATACAAATGTCCCAAAATATTGTTCAAACAATTTCTAAAAAATATTATTTTTAATAAGAACAATTTTTTAATACAAATAAAAATAGTCCCATTTTTTTTTTTATATAAATTTAATATTTTAGGAGACATGAATTTTTAAAGTTTAAAAATCACGATTTTTGACGTATTTTAACAGCATAATCTATAAAAATAATTGACATGATATTAAACATTTTTTTATATTCTTTGTAATGTTAACAAATTCCATAAAGACAAATATGAAAAACTTCATCATTAAGGATTGTTTTTAATTATTTATTACGCTCGTACGCAGATATATCATAAAAAATTATTTAAAACGTGGGGAGGCCGCAGCAGCGCGTGGGTAGAAGACATCCATCAATATTTTATAAGTTGCGGCTACTTATGCTATTACGAACGCGCTTAATAAATAAATAAAAAAAAGTCTTTAACCCTTTCAGCCCCAATTTTACTTTCGATATTAGAGTAAAATAAACATTTTAGGCACTAATAAGTAATAATTTGCTGATTACAATACAAAAAATTTGAACAATTGGGACATATATATCCCAAAAGACATTTTTAGTGAGACATATAGGCCCCATTGGGTAAAAAACAAAATTTTTTATTTCTGAAAAATTCATAAAATGGAAAAATAATAGCTAACTTAATTTCTGATGTGTGGTATACAGTAAAACAGTGTTTGCACAAGCCTACATCACACATCTGACAAATGGTCGTGGTTCTACGCTTCTTTCCTGTTGTTGAACATCATTCTTTAGAAGGCCCATCCCTATTTATATGCCGTAGTTTCATTTTAGTTGCTTTTTTCTTCTATAGAATATAGAAAATCGAGTAGAGAGATATTCTTTTGGTTAGGACGTAAATTAATATAAATTACCCAATGGTTTACGAAGAATGTCATAACACACTTTTTTCCACCATTTGCATGATTTTCTTCCCTTATCATATACCCCACTCATTTGGTCTGCAAGGTCTACACCGCCCATTATTTCGTTGTAGAAAGCAATTGCAGTGGGACTTCAAGGAATATCAACCTTATTACCAACTTTATTCTTTCGCTTTACAGAGACAGTTACTAAGAATAATAACTTGTTTGGTATCCTGCCATTTAGTCGCCATATTATTTCACTGATTACACAACAATTCGGATCCATTTTTTGTTTTTAAGTGAACTTTTTAGGCATATTTTTTCTAGTGAGGATTCCTGTTCCAACGGCTGGATAAGAAATATTGTCAATTAGATCTAATGAGGTAAAAACTTATAAAGGCAACATCCGGATTTTTAATCGTTTCACATAGTGTTTTTACTACTGTTTCCCTAAGTGTGCCATCTCTCTCAACTTTATCTTTGCCATCGTAGGTATATCCTGTTTTAGCATTGCATCTGCAGATCGGCCCTTTACTTTGTCTACTTCTTCTACATAATGTATCTTACTGCGGTCATCTAATTTTTGAGGATTATTGAAATAGAGTTTAGATAAAAGAAACAAACATCTGTTTTTGGAGAGGTGATTTCCTAAGGATGTGCGATTAGACCAATAATGTCTAAGTTTAGGAACCTTATTGTAGCTCATTACTAGATAACAGCCTATGGTTATTATTATTATTATTATTTCTCCCTCATCAGTAAGAATTGAAGATTTCTGTATTATATTATTTTTATTCTGTGGTGCAGTCTGCTATAAAAATGAATAAACTACGAAAAAAATATTTCGATAGGGGATACATTTTCTTTTATCAGTGAATCAATATTACTCGGTTTATCAGAAGAAATATTCAATGGAGGTTTATGATCATTTGTAATTGATGACCATATTACAGTAACAGTTGTTTCTATTTTGGCTCTCGTCGTCAGAAACATTTGATGGCACATACGACTTATCCGACTCATCACTATTGTGAAAAGGGTCTTTCCCCGACTATTCAGACTGTCCAGACTTTATCTCCATGTCATAGTCAGAGATATCGTCTAAGTTGTCAGACAAATCTTGCAATTCAACCAGTGTCAGTTTTTTCCATAACATTCAAAAAAACAATGTGAGATAAAACGCCCTCCAAAAAACTCAATGGGACACATAGATTCCATATGCAAACAGTTCATAGTTCAATAACAATAATATTTTACAATAATATTTTACAATAATATTTTACATTAATATTTTACAATAATATTTAATATTAATATTTAACAATTCTAATAATATACAAGAATACCTAATTTCTTTCACAATAAATTTCGTTTTTTATAGCAAAAATCACAAAAAATGTTGCCACATTTGTTTCAACATATCAGAGATGCTTAAAAAACCCGATAAAACATAAATATGTGTATAATGGGAAATATACAGGGTGTTTCAGATTTAAACGGACACAGCTTAATGGGAGGTAGAGTACACTTAGCTGAGTTCAAAACACCCCATACTTAGCTTTTAATCTTACTCGTTTCTGAGTTATAGGTTGTTTTTTTGAGTTATTTTGATAAAATTTTGAACAAAAGTTACACTTTCTTAGGTCAATCAAAACCATAATTTAATTTTAAAAAATTCCAGGAACGGACTCTTTTTTTTATATTGCTCTTCTTGGCTAGAATATCACCCTGTATATCGGATTTTAATAAATCTTACTGCACATTTAAATAGTACGCGGATCAATAAATAAAATAATGTAATAATATTTAATGGCACCATCTTGATTTTCTTACAGTCAATTTTTATAATGGCGACTACAATATTATAAATCAGTTTTTACAAAATTGAAATCAAATATATTACTCTGTATTTTTAAAACTCTACATAAATTAGGTACCTTCTTCATTTATTTTTAACTACTGCATTTTACAATAAGAAATTGAACATCTACACAGGACCGGGCTCATTTTATTTGATAAAGTAACAGAACAAACTAACAGAAACAAATAATTAATTTAAATTAAAGTGAATTTTCAAAATGAACACCATGAACGTCAATACACCTCTGCGAACGTTTTAACAGGTTTTTTACTGATTTGTCAATTATTTCCGGTTTATTTTTAATGTTGTTGCATACATTATTAATTTTTCCAATAACTGTGCTCGGGTATTAATTTCTTCGTTGTACACCTCTGATTTAAGGTAGCCTCATAAAATATAATCCAGAGGTGTAATCTGGAGATCTTGGTGGCCAATTGGCGGGACCGCCTCGACCTATCCAGCAACTTGAACACACATTAAATGTTTCGTGTGGAATTTTTAAAAAATCACTTAATACCCAGGCACAGTTAAATCATTGTTTCCCAAATAGATGGATAGGTCGAGGCGGTCCCGTCAATTGGCCATCAAGATCTCCAGATCTAACACCTCTAGATTATTTTTTATGGGACTACCTTAAATCAGAGGTGTACAACGAAGAAATGAATACCCGAGCATAGTTATTGGAAAAAATTAACAATGTATGTAACAACATTAGAAATAAACCGAAAATAATTGACAAATCAGTTAAAAATCTGTTAAAACGTTCGCAGAGGTG